TAAGGAAGGCTCTTACAGCCCATGCTAATGAGCATAAACTTCACTGTGTGGGTGATGTGGAACCATTGGCAGGTGTTCAGTGGGGAGCGTGGTTCTCAAGTGTCCTTCAGTCTATTTTCTTCAGCCTCCTGCTTACAGTTGCTTCTGCTTGAGTGCCTTTTAGTCATTGTCTGTGGCATCTTACAAAAGCCTTACCTGAAGCACGCAGGGATGACGCATTTATACTAACAGCAAATCTCAGTTCTGGCAAATACCAAGCAAATCTGTCTTTTGAAAAGACATCCTTAAGGTCACTACCTATCCGTAGGGTCTTCGGCATTGGAGTTCTTGATGCCTTTTCAGCTTTTGTATATCACTGAAAATTGCCCATTTCCCCCCAAATTATTTAAAATGGCAGTGCTGAAAGGCACAGCAGGGGAAGTCAGTGATTGATTATGGGCCTAGATATCACAAAGAACACTGGTGTTTTGACATCACCATCCAGAAGCTCCTGCAGTTTGATAGTATTCTGAAAGGCCTCATGTTGGCATGAGCTACTTTGCTAAATCATTCAAATTCATTGATGATAGTTCTGAAGACAGACTCCACACAAGATCACCACACATCCTAGCTACAAAATCCGAGATTTCAGCATCCCAAGGGAGCTTAAAGCAGGCAATGAACTCTGATGATCAGACAGTATGTTATCTAGTGATGACCTGAGGGGCATGGAAGGAACAACAGTCAGACCATTATGTATTAGGAGACAAGGAGACTCGGTAGCTATTTGGGCACCAAGCTCCTGACCAAGTTAAAGGTTAACACTGAATCTCAGGGTAAATCCATTATTCCCTGTAGATGAACTTAAATGTGAGGTAGAGGCCATCTTTGGTTTCTTGGTTGTTTTCTTTGCTAATAACCATACAGAACACATATTGGTGGATTAGAATAATCAACAATGTATTTGAGAACTGCAGCCAGTCTACCGGGATAGAAACCATGCTTGTTTGCAGAAATGTGGCATTATTGAAAAATTATAATGTCAGCAGGATGTCCCACTTGGGCAACTGTTCTAAATTAAGGATCCACAAAAATTTCTAAAAACAGAACCATTTGTATCCTGGGTTAGTACTTGGCCTTCCCTCACTTCCCATCTAGTCCACATAGACTTAATGCCAGATGTTGTTCCAGCATAGCCCAAGGTGTCAACCTACATACTGCACACAGAGACTCAGAGTAAGGCTCTGCTACTCAAAATCAAGTCTGAAACCAGACATCGTAATTGATGATACAGAGTGCCCTTTAGAAATTCGATAAAAGCTTAATGTAGCAAAGATTGTATAAGACAACAACAAAAGGTGAATGCTACAACCAAAATTGTGGGCTAGCCTTTTGTGAGTGGGCTTTTTGTGAGCAAAACACCTGTATAGATTGAATGTGGGAAAAGCTTTTAAAAGTGTTGGTTTTGAAAAAAACCTATTAAAACAACGGTTAAATTTAATTTAAATGTTTTAGATCTGCGTAAAAATGGTGACGTTTCCAAATGGATGGAAGAACTGAGAACTGAACTCCAGTCCTCTGGGAGTTTCTAGTTTTCTAACCATGTCTCTGTCTCCCCCTTCAATCAATTGCTCCTCCCCTTCCTTCTCCCATCTCTAAAGCTCCTTTTAGTCCCTAATAAGTTAAATTATTTAAGCCCAGTATAGTTTTCATCATTAGAAGTCCAGCGGTTCCCACAGTGTTTTACTTGGTTGCTCTGCCCAGAAGAGACTACACATCAACTACCATTGATTCTTGTTGAACTGGGCTGAAAGATTGACTGAAAGGGGAAGTGAGTGAGTGATGCTTGGTTCCCAAAAGACAATACAGAGAGTAAAAGAAGCAAGCTTTCTTGGTGGAGAGAAGGACTGTTTCAAGGAAGTGATAACATTGGATCCAAGTGGACTTTCTGGCCCCGAATTTGATGTATCAGTTTCATCCATTTTTGAGTCATAGAAACTGAGGTAAAGATGTGAAGTTTCCAGACCCAGTTGTTATTAACTTTAGAACCTGGGTTTCCTTGCCTGAAGCATGGGGAGATGATGCAATGATCTCTAAGTTTTCTTTCAACTTGAAAATTTTATGAAAAAGAATCACATATGGATCCCTGGCTGGTTATATTGCTACTGTATGTTTTCTTTAAACCAAGTCTCAAATCCATCCAATATGGATGGTAGATTAGTAATGGGAACCAGAAACTCGGGAGGCCACCCTCATATACAGGGAATTTACTGTCTTGCCCTGTGTGTTTGTGTTTATTTTTGTTGACTCCTTGGTGAGGGTCGATTCTAGGGAAGTAACATTGCTATAAATCCAAGTGGAGGGAGAAGTTTTCTCTTTCATGTCCCCTTCCCAAACAACCTAGCTTAGTTCATCAGCTTGTGTTGACATTATTTATGAATGCTAATGAACTCATAAGTGTTAATAACTCCATGTGCTGCTATTTGCTAGCAAATATAGGAATCCAGGTGCAGTATAGACCTGTCACCAAATACAGTACATTTCTTCACCTCTGAGCCAAGGAGCATGGCTGGGATTACTCTATTGCAATACTGCCAAAGTCAGAGCCATACACACTTACAAAATATACTCAGGAGCTGTACTTAAACTCACACAAAAGTATCATCTTCTTATTATCCACTGAGATAAGAAACCAGGGTCAAGTCCAGCTGTCTTAGTCAGGGTTCTCCAGAGAAACAGAACCAATAGGATATATATATATAGCTGTATAGATTGGGATTTGTTATGAGGCTGAGAAGTCCCACAATCTGCCATCTGCAAAGTGGAGGCACAAGAAAGCTGGTGGTGGAGTTCCATTCCAAACCCAAAAGCCTGACAACAGGGGGAGCCAATGATGTCAGTCCTGGTTCAAATCTAAAGGCCTAAACACCAGGAGTTCCAATGTCCAAGCTCAGGAGAATATGGGTGTCACAGCTCAAGCAGAACAAGGGAATTCACCATTCTTCACTTTCATTCAATCTGAGCCCCCAACAGATTGATATGTTCACCAGTGTTAGTAAGGTGGTGAGGGAATGAGGGAGGTTGTTTTTTTTTCCAGTCAGGGTCTGGCTCTGTTGCCCAGGCTGGAGTACAGTGGTGCAATCACAGCTCACTGCAGCCCCAAACCCCTGGGCTCAAGCCATCCTCCACCAAAGCTTCCCAAGTAGTTGAGACTACAGAAGTCTGCCACTATGCCCAAGCAAATTCATTTTGTTTTTTGTAGAAATGGGGTCTTACTATATTGCTGAGGCTGATCTTAAACTTCTGGCCTCAAGTGATCTTCCCCCCTCGGCCTCCCAAAGTGCTGGGATTACAGGCATGAGCCACTACCCTCAACCTGGAAGCTCTTCCTTACTCAGCCTACCAATTTAACAGCTATGCTCTTCCGGAAACACTCACACAGATACACCCAGGAATAATGTTTTACCAGCTATCTGGTCATCTCTTAGGCCAACCAAGTTGACACATTCAATTCACCACCACACCAGCAAATGGCAAGATTAGGTTGGACTCCTGATCTTGGGAATGGAATGCTGCAAACCAGGGGACCCAGTCCAGCACGATCTGGAGCACATCAAGGCACTGCCTCCTTGCCACAAAGAGGGACAGGAATCCCAAGGGGGGCACAATGGAATGCTCTGCAAGATTGGACTGACGAAGGTCCATGGGGCTTTGAGGAGCACAGGATGCCAGTGCTTTTGCTCTCCTATGGGTGTAGCTGCCTCTGTCTCCTCCGCTGGCTGGTGATCTCTGGAAATTCAGGAGCTCAGTCTGCCAGGAGCCAAGCCTCCCTATGTATGTGCCATGTTAATATTGCTGATTAAGGTGTGGACTTGTGGTCTTCTTTGGGAGACCTTGAACTTTCTTCAGCAAACAAAGAGATGAGGCCAGACCTTGGTTCTAGTGATGGAGTTCATCAAACACTTACGATGTACCACTTACTGTGTACCAATTTAGCATCAAATTCCCCAAACAGTGGTATTTTGTAGTTACTATTTCTCTCATTGCCCCATTTGAGCATTTTGTAAATTGAGGCAGAAAGATTATGTAACTTGGTCAAGGTCATACAGCTGGTAAATAGCAAAGCCGGGGTTTGAATTGCCCTGTCACCCTGAATGAAGCCCACGTCTAGACCACCGCCTTGGGTGCAGCTCCAGGTGTGACTGCAGACTGCTGCACTGGGGCCTGTGCCCTGCACAGGTGACTCTGTGCTGTTGGCAGCCCTGCTCCCTGGAAGTCCCCCTTCCTCTCTCTTTCTGGGACCTGTTTGCTCTCCAGACTGAGGAACTGGATCCAGCTGCAATTTGCCTCTGAGCCCCCAGAACCCCTCCTGAATTGGAATCACTCTTTCCTCCAGCAGCGCTCTCCAGCCCTCTCCTGTCCTCTCAGGGCCCAGCTTCATCCCTTAAAATCACTGTCTGGGATATGGTTTTAAAATCACTGTTAAATAAACTTAGGGCCGACCCCTGCGGAGAGAGAGCCATGATTACAGGGGAGCAGAGCTGAAGGTGAACACTTGTATCCTGTGTCAGACCCAGGCTGGGGAGCAGCACAAGATATTTCTTTTGTATGTGCCTACCAGGAGCGGAGGAATTTTTCTTTGTAAGAAAGAGAGGATCTTTAGAAACCTTGTACTTTTTTCAAGGAGGCTTTATGGGTGGCAAGGATAAAGCTATAGAGGCAGGAAAAAGAGTTGCTAACTATATGCCAGTAGAGCATGCTTTTTAAGGGTGGGGTGTGGGAGGAGGAGGGGAGCTTCCCCTCAGCCGCTCTTGCCCTGGATGCGATGAACACATGATCCTTTGACACCTCTGCCGCCGCTCTGCTCCCTCCCTGGGACTGCCTGACCCCCTCCATCTCTGCTCCTCATGCTGGGTGGTGCTACAGGAAGAAGGGGCCCGTGGCTGTGTCTGCCAGTCCCAAATGCCAGCAGCTGCACAATCCTGCTATAATTGCTAATATCTGTTTCTTCTCTTTTCCAGGCCTCGGAAAGCCTTCCAGGAATGGACTTTCTGCAGTATGATGACCTGCAAAAGCAGCCCTTCCATTTACATTTCAAACTCCAAGTCAGCCGTGTCAAAGTTTGAACCAGGACTGTGGAGGATAATGGGTCAGATGCAATTAGCAGCCCAGAGAGCTGCATGTTGCAGTCTGATTTATTTTTTTGCCCATCAGATTCCAAGAATCCTAGTGCTTAAAAGCAACTAAACAATCGCTCTATTGTACTGAAATAAAGCCCAGTTAATTCAGAAATCAATTGCACCACCAGGTGGGGCACACTCTGGCCCCAAACAGATGGGGTTGAAAACTCCCCCCAAAATGCAGTCTTGTTAAATTAAAAACTTGATCCAGGAGTGGAACAAATAGGGAGCCATGAATAGAATGGAGTCAGGTCCACTCAGGCGGATTCTTTCTTCTCCCACTCCTTTTCCTTTAAAAAAGAAAAACTCCCCATTTCACTTTCATCAGTGTTAGCATCTATGCAGAAATGCAGCCACCTACCCTTTCAGTTCAATGTGTTACTTTAATTAGTCTGAAAATTAAAGGGCAACTCTGGGCCAATGTGAATGATTATGAAAATACATGTGCATCCCATGCAATCTTCTCATTTAATTAATAGTCTTGTAAACTATATGGCTCACTTTAAGTCAGTCAAGAGGTATAACAACTCCATTTTAAATATCGACTTAATACTTAACAGGATGTGAGGAACACACTATAGCATACGGTCCCTTCTCAAGTTTCACTGTCTGAAATTTTTCAAAGCTGACCCAAGTCAACCCGAAAAATGTTTAACACCCTGGGCTTGAACACAAGAAACTCTGTGATGAACAGACATTCAATTACATTTTTTAAAAGTGAGAAGCATTTTTGTAAAATAGTGACTCTGGAAACTAATTGGCAGCCGCAAAACTTGTGAGCGAAGGCCAAATCTTGTGGGGAACTTTTACTACAGTAACACGACTCAAAGAAAATGTGAATAAAAGGCATCTTTGTTTCCCAGTCAAATTAGCTGATTAAGAAATAAAACATCTTAACATGTTTTTAAATGTAGAATTGATTATTTATATGAGAAAAATTAATGCTGGGTTATGTGAATTCTACTCTGTGTGTGAATTGAATGGGGCAGAAAGAGTAATCCGTGCAGATCCATGTCTTAGGTCATTAAACAAAACTAAATATTAAGAGCTCCGGTTATGGAAAAAAAATCACATTCAGGTCACATGTTGTGCTCCCCATTTTGATTTCCAAAGTCCAGATTAGTTATGGTCCACATTAAAAACGTGATTCGGAACAAGGAAACTGCTTTGTATTGGCTGAGTACTGACAGTTGAGTGGAAGAAGAAAACACACAGCTATACAAAGAGCACAGCCAACTCCTGGGAGGGAACACAGGCCTTTTGCTCCTGAGGAACCTGAGAAAGATTCACAGAAGGAATTTGAACAGGCCATCCTTTATTTCCTGATGGGTGAGTTTGGAACTCATGAAAACAAGACAACCTAAGTTATGCGTTAGTCTCAGAAAAGAAGTGGGCAGGTGACCTTTGACATCTCAGGCCCCCATGTCTCAACCCAAGCCCTTCGTCCCTGACCTCTTAACATTCCAATATCCTGAAGGCAGTCTCTACCCAAACCAGGGCTGCAAATTATCTCTGCCATGTGGATAAACATTCACTGGGTCAGTGTTTTTCAAGGTGTGGTCCTGGGACCACCTGCATCAGAATTGCTTGCTGAGTTTTCAAAATGTAAGTTTCTGGGCCCCAGGAATTACTGTATCAGATAGTAATGGGGCCCAGGAGTGTGCGTTTTCAACAAATTCTGTAGGATTCTGTAAGGATATGAATATTAGAATCACTGCCCCGTGTCTACTTGGAGATCACAAGAGTAACTTTCACTAAGTTTCTTCAATGGGTTTCCTGTATTGAAAGGCATTTACAAAAATGTTATAAATCCTTCATTAAACAAAAAAAGATTCTTCAGCCATTTTCATTTCTCGTGGTATCTCTTAAGAGAGGGAGTATAGAAATGCTTTGTCCTTTAAAATAAGTTCAGTGAGTACTTGAAAAGTCATTTGGCAAGAGATGAGGGATGAGACAAAGGGGGAAGATTAATGACGAACAGAATCAGAGTCCTTGCTAAAATAAAAATGGATTCACACCCAACTTCTTCTGAAGGGTAAGACATATGGCAGCTCGTGTGGGAAGCGAGCGTGTTTAGTAGAGAGAGGTCCTGCTGCAGAGCTGTGTGATGCAGGGTGCAGCTTCCTCAGCCAAAAACAGAACATCACATGCTATGGGAAGACGTACCATCCCTCCTATGTGATGAGAGGCTGACTTTCTAAAGAAATTTGAGCAAACGTTTGCCCGAATGGCTTTAACAAGTTTCTCAGAGTCAAGATGATCAGGTTTGGGCATTTATACCTTAGTTTTGCTCTGATTTTTGGGTTTGGCCTGACAGCCCAACATTTTCTGCTGCTGATAGCTTAAATTTCCCCATTTATAAAATGGAAGAGATGAAAGGAGGAAAGTGCTGGCTGCTAGAAATTGTGGGTCAGAGCTTCAGCTACAAACTCTGGGCTTACTGTTCCACATTCTCTTTTGAGATGATTTTTTTGAGTCTGACCAGGAAAAAGCCAAGACATACCTGCTAAGTTTTTTTTTTTTTTGAATAGAGAAGAAGGGCAATTCATTTGCACTTTGTCATCTGTCATGTACCAGCGTTAAAGTAGCAAGTGCCCAATAATAGACTTCAGGATTCCATTTCTAGGTTTCATTAAAAACTATAAACAGGTATACAAAGGCCATTTACAAATGTGGCTCTGATTATGCTTATAGTAGCAGTGATGAGAATTCAGTTTTTGTCCATGGAAAATCGCTGCTTAATAAGAACTTTCCCAAATGCATGTCTCCTTTGAGATAAAAATTTCCACACTAAATTTCATCGCCCTACTAGAATTTCCTTTGGAATGTTTGTGTTAAATTCCTTTCTCCCTGATTGAAGTATACAACACAAAAATCTAGCTTAAAGACTTAAAAACAAATGCACTGAAAGGCACAAATTTATAGAATAACTTGGGAGGAGACTGGGCAGGGGAAAGGCAGAGGAGATTTGGGAAAATGAATTAAGACCTCCCAATAATTAAGAAGTGATTTACTCAGCACATTCAGTATTTGGAATGCTTGTATAGGAGGGCAGGGTATGACTTCCTTATATGCCATGGGCAACCTCAGCAACTCAGTTTTGCTGCAAGAAGTTTTGGCTTTTTTGTTGTTATTTCCTGACTTGCTGTGTGCTGTTGTGAACTTAATTAACACACTAGTGATTCTGCACCCTCAGGGAAAAATGGTAAATTTTCTGAAATGTAACTACTGAAACAAAAGGGAAGTTCTTTCCTTCCTGATCATAGCTGTCTTTTATTCCCTCTCTTGTATTATGCATCAGAAAAACATGAAAGCCCCATGAACCTTTAGAGAGTCCAACCCTCAGACCCATATGGCACAATACCCTGGTATTCCTCACTGTTCTGTCTTGTAGACTATCCTAACTGCTGTTGTGTGAGAGAAAGCAGGGTTAATAGGTAGCAAAAGTTAGCCCTTTGGATAACAGTGCATCGTATGTGCTTTTTAAAAAATTATATTGCTCTCATTTGGAAGTATCTTGAACCATTCCCTTTTGAATCAAGCCCTATACATTTGATCAATAGCATTATTTTCATGAGGCAAGTTTAAGCTGATAAAGTTGTCTTGCTTTGTCCCTCTTCCCTCCCACCCACCCTCTAAAAAAAAAAACAACTAAGGAGAGTCACAACTTTGAAGCTTGAGTGTGAAGCGCGGGTATAGAAAAGTTTATGAAAGATGACATTTATAGATGGGTACATATATGTTTAATTTCTCGTATGTGAGTGTGTGTGTGTATATATATTTTTACTTCTGTTCATGGAGGATACAACATCATAATTAAGGAAATTTTACTTTATCCAATGAAGAGTTTTTTTCAGTTCTCTCTAATTGGTAATTTAATTACAGAGCTAATTAGGAACATGGTGGGTGTCGGGACTACAACGATTGTCTTTAACTGGAAAGTCTTACCACTTACAAAGCAAGGAAGTTTTTAAATTATGGAACACTTAAACAATGGATTAATAAGTTAGTAAGTACAACCGTATAAAGGTAAATCATTCACACGCTCGTCAATTGGCAAAATTTTTAATTCAAGGCTGATCCATTCCACTAAGTAATTATCACTCTGCTTTTCCAGCATACTGGGGGGTCTATGCTGAGGCCCCAGGGAATTTATGTGCTAAACTCTGGGGCTGGAATTCCTGGACCAGAGCTGGGGCAGAAGGTGGAGCAGCTGAAAGTTGTTTGGGAGGAAATACAGTCCAATATTAGAGCAAAGAGGAATTCTCTTATTAGCCTCTGCCGCTCACTTTTCATGGAGAACTGCCAGCTCAGTCCTCTTTCTGCCTCAGTTTCTCTTTATCTTGCCCACTTCAGCAGACACCTATATGCCAGGACAACAGAGAAACATTTGGAGGTGGTTGAAGATGGACTCGGTCAGGGGTCGCTTTGGCACATGCTGGGTGGCCCTTTGGGCCTTGGGTCCTCTGCATGAGAGGCCTGGAGCTGTGTAAGCAAATCCATCCCCTGCAAATGGGGGTCCTGCAAGATGAGGGCCCTCTGGGTGCTGAGCTTAGCCTGGGAGCAGTGGTGAAATCAATAATCCATAGAACATAGCCTTTGTAATTTGGGAAGACTTGTGATTTTAGGAGGGCAATCATTTGTTCTTTCATCAAACATTTCTCAGTATTCATGTGAAGGGCTTCTACATACAAGATGTGCATTAAAGCACAAAAACACTGAATGTAAAATTGTCTCTGAGCAGAAAATACAAGGAATTACCTAGAGGGCCGATTTCCACAAGTGCCTGGAAAAAAGCTAGATCAGAACCCCATCACCTGGGCCTCTTTCTGGGAAGATCTCATCTGAAAAACGGGGGCCCCAGAAAGGCCAGCAGTTTGTAACGGAAAATGCCCAAGGTAATCAGATTCAACGGATACATTTGGTAATCTAAAATTTCTCACTTCACAATGACTGCAGGGGGATGGTGTGAGGGAGACAAAAAGGGAAGAAGAGAGATAACTGGGCTAATTGAAATCCACAGAAAATCCCGAAACTTGATTTCAGCCAATAGGTTCACTCAAACCCATTCTCCCCCAAAACTTGGACCATAATTACCACCTGTGAACTGAATGGAGTTGAGATTTGCTATTTTCTTTCTGCTGCATAGCATGGCCAAGAAAGGCTTCAGTGGGCCTGGCTGAGAAGATACACAAAGCTAAGGCTGGTGCACAGACCAGCTGTTAGCAGCCTGGCTCCCCCTGCCAATAGAGCTACTTGAGAATGGACAAATGCTTGAAAGAAATTATTTTTTAAAAGTTCCACCCTTAAATATTTTTTTTCATTAAATTATTGAATTTATAATTCATCAGAACTTTCATTTATTAAGAAATTTACAAATTTCTATCCAGGGTTTATGATGAGTGAGGGTCATATAATTTTAATCCTGACTGTCCTCTGTGAGTTTCTAGTTAAATTGGAAAGCTGCTATGTGCACAAATTATTCTACTACATGAAAGAATATAATACATGCCACGTGTGAGCAACCGATAATATAAGGCTTTTGAGCAGTCAGGAGAGAGGAAGCTCTCTTTCAGCTGGAGTGATCTGGGAAGTCTTCATGGAAGGGGAGGATAGGGTTTAAGTTGGAACTTGGAGAAATCTTATAGGCAGTATTGAGGGTAGGGCATTTCAGACGGGAAAGAGCTTACATTTGTTGAACGCTTACTTTTAGCCAAGAACTATGCTAAGTACTTTATATGCATCTAGCTCATTTAGTTTTCACCAGGATCCAACAAGGAAGGAATGAATATTTTTCCCTAAAAGCAAATCATAACTTTATTAAGGATTTATTGTGTATCAGGCACTGTTCTGAGTGCTTTAATGGATTAAATATTTTAATTGTCACAACTTGATGAAGAGGATACTAC